TTTAAAGGGAAGGATCTTCCTAAATCCCATGCATGTACATGCTTTTTTTTAAATATCTTCCTCACACTCATGACTGAAGAATACTTTCCTCATTTCCTGAAGAGTTTTGTTTTTATTATATAGCTGCTTTTCTTTGCCTTGGGCTGTAGCTGTGTTTCCTTGATGGATGAATAACTTTCCGCATGAGTAATTTGCATATCAGTTTGTAAAACATTTTCAGACCCTTTTGGGGAAAAAAAAAAAAGGTATTATTCAAATCTTGGATAACATATGTGTGTGTTATTATACAAATGTTTGATAGCTTTTGTTATATAACATGTGTTATGGATGAATAGGTTTTTATCATATAGTTCTGTGACAGCTCCATTTCATCTTTTAATAACATTATAGGAAAAAGCTCAGTAGTATAATTACGTACAAAATCTTTTCTCCTCCCTTCTGATGTGTGAATAAGTCCTCCAGGATTATAAAATTTACTCCTTCAGTACCTGTTAATCAGAACTAAGGGTACTGAACAGAGAACAGGCCCCAGAGATCTCCACTTAGAATCACAGAATCACCAAGGTTGGAGAAGACCTCCAAGATCATCCAATCCAACCACCCACTTACCACCAATATTTCATACTAAACCAAATGCCTCACTACAACATCTAAACTTTTTTTTTAACACCTCTAGGAACGGCTCTACCACCTCCCTGGGCAACCAATTCTTTTGCCAATGTTTTAAATGGTCTTAGAATTATGGTGGCCAGACACAGCTATTATTTTTAGAACAAAACTTTTTATAATTATCACCATAAAATGCACTTATGTCTTGCTTTTAAAGGAAATACAGTTCTCTATAGAAAATTGCTTTGTGATCATTGTTAGCATCATAACACTTGTTGCTTTATTTGGTGACTAGAGCTTACAACATTGGTAAGAAGAAATAATTTTAAAATATAATGGAGCAAGTTAATCAGAATGGCAGCAACTCAAAACCTCTCCTCTGAGTGTAGGAAATGAATGAAATCCCTCCCAGTAGCAGTGAGGATGTGCTGTGGAATCCCAGCTGGCTTTAGGCTGTGGCTTCCAATGAGGTGTAGAGGAAGGTCCTGGAAGAGTCTGCAGCTCTTGTAACACATGGTGACTGTGGAGTTTCAGGCTGTGATTAACAGATGGGTGTGTTTGTACACCCCTATTTCTTGTGGAAAGCGTGGTGGTTTATGACTGTGCATTGTTAGGTGACGTGAAGGGATGAAATCATGCCTCCTGTGCTCTTCTGCTCTGAACAATTTATTCTAACACTCTGGAGTGCTGACTATGCATTTTACTGCTTAATGAGAGGTGTTTTTGGAAATATGCTCCTTTTCCTGTAGAGTTTAGCTGAAATATTTGCATGTGAGTTTTAATAAGTCCTTTAATTGTCCTGCTGGAATACATTTGCATTTATTTGTATTAATTCAGAGTTTGCACTGATTGTTTTTCTAAAAGAAGACAAGAAGAGAAAAATGGGAGTACAGTTTGTTCACAAAAAAAAATAACCTTTCACTGATCCAGTCATTAGAATATAATGCATTTCTGAATGCAGAAAGTGACTGAAATTTTTCCCTCTTGCAGAAATTCACCAGCAGTGCTGGTGGTAGGTGGATGCTTAGACTAAATGGTCTTGGAGGTCTTTTCAACCTTAATAATTCCATAATTCTGTGATTTTTAAATTCACTTTGACAACTTCAAGGATTTTTTTTAGCCCTGTTGCTGAAGTTCTAAAAGGAACCAGAAATCCATATTCCAAGTATATTCTATTAAGTCTGATGGTAAAAAGCTGCAGAGAAACTCTCAGGCCATGACCTTACAGATTTCAAAAGCCCTGTGCTGCATGCACAGAGGCTGCAGGGAGCATGGCTGGAGCCTTTTCTTCTCAGGCTGAGGGATGCTGAGCAGCACTGCTGATCTACACCTGAGGTGCTTGGCTGAAGCTGAGTAAGGAGCTTTTGATCTCAGCCAGTTGACTTCATGGCAAAAAAGCAGATACTGTGTGTAGGAATAGGTCAATTGAATGTAGAAGATTTAGAAGGCTTTAATTTTTATTGCAGTGCTTATAATTAGTGAGCAAGTAGTGTTTACATCTTCACTGAGCTGTACAGATATTGAAGTGTTGAGTGCCATCTAAAATAAGCAGAAAACAAAACTAGCACTTCTCCTTTGTCCTGGTTTTGTCCTTGGAAAATCCCCTCCAAGCCTAAGGAAGGGATGAGGTCTTCATTGCGCCGTGTGCTCTGCAGGTAAACCTCTTGATAGCCAGGGCTTCATTTACAGCAGACTCTGTATCTGCCTTCAAATCAGATGCTGCATTTCCCAGCATGTCTCCCAAGTTGCGATGGATGTGTGCTCTTTCTTATCCCATACCAAGTTCCCAGGTCACCTTCTGGCGGTCCAAAATCAGCACTTTGCATGACTCTGCTGCATCGATACAATGTGTCATCACATGGTGTAATTTCTAACTGGTGAATAAGGCTCCTAAGGGTTCCACATTCACTTTGCGTAGGATGTAAAATACTCATGCTAAATCCTTGATTTTTGCATCCTGATGTTGCATGTGACAAGTAAGATGGAGAAAGTGGCAAGCAGGCTGTCACATAACTGTACAGGTGGAAGAAGTACAGGTGGCATTAATTAAGACAAGGACTCTGCAAAGAACTTAGCAAGAGCACAGTTCCAGTTCCTTCTGCAGTTGTTTTACCCAATCCTTTAGAAGGCACACAAATGCACATAAGAAACTTCCATCAGTGCTATGTGTGGCAGTGGCTTTTGCCCATATGGCATTAGGTTTAGTACCAGGGTCCAGTTTCAAAGATGTTGCTATTACTTTCTGTAAAGCAATTGTTCTTTTAAGCAATCCAGTCAAATGATTTTGAACAATTATACATGAAACCCAACCAAACAGAAGTTGGTGTGGGCACAGCTGAAAACTGGTGGGGGAATTCATTATCCCCAAAGCACCGTTGCTACGATCTAAAGAACCAGCACACAAAAATAATGACAAAAAGGATGAGTAAATGTTATCAGAGGTATTGATAAAAAAAAGATTTTGATTTTAAGAAGTTTTAGAGCCCAGTCTCTTAGCCCCTAGATACTTGTTTCAAATAATTCTGGTTCATTTATGAATGCCCAACAACCAGCACACATGGTCTGTAATGAAACTCATGCTGCACATCCCAGTCCATTATAGTGATAAAGCCTCACAAAGAATGCATTGTGAATTTCCTCTGGATTAATAGAGAAGCTCCAAAACAATGGATCTCATCAAAAACAAGCTGAAAGAAGTCTCTATTTGAAATATGCCCATTCAAACCCTAAATCATTAGAGTGCTTTGGCTCTGATAGGCTCAGTAATTAGCTGACTTACAACAAACCTGTGCCATAAACAGCATGAATCAGAACATGCCTGTTTCTAAGACTTATTATTTGTATTACTGTAGCACCTAGAGGCCACAGGCAAAATCTGAGTCTCTGGCTGTTATGCATTGCTCAGAAAGAATGAGATCCTGAGCCCTGCAGCACACAGCCAACACAAATGAAGGATTTTCATCAAAGGCTTCTTGAGAGAAATAACACAGAGCAGTGGGTATCGATGTGCAAAAGGTGTTTTCTTGGTTGCCCTTTTCACTTTTTATGTGCACAGCACAATTATACAAAAAGAAATAGCAGCAGAAGGCAAGAAGGTAAAGGGACAGGGCTCACAGCAGCAAGGGTACAGAGATAAGAAAAGAAAATAATGAATGGTGAGAGAAAGAATAGGCATGTGAAATGGGGAGGTGAGAAGGGGCATGGATGGCTTCAAGAGAAGCTGAGTAGAGGGATGAGAGCCACACAAGCTGGCACTGGGCTGAGCAATGCTTGTCTGCACTGCGGGTACCTGAAGGTGGGTCCCATGTACTAGGATGTGGGTGGCCCTCAGCATTGAGCTGACAAGGAATTGTGAAGCCAGGAAAAAGAAGTGATTGTCAATTAATTGAGACCATTCTCCTACCGTATCGCTCGGACAGACTTTTATCTATCTGTCAGGGCTGAAGGCCCCAAAACTTTGCAGAAGCAATCCATTGTGTGGCAGATGTAGACACTCACTTTAGTTTTATTGAGGTGAAGCTTTCCTCTGCCTCTCACAGCTGTTCTGGAAGACTATGCTGGAAGCCCTTCTAAATCAGGGTAGATGACATTTACTGCTTTCCTATCCACAGGCTTGTTATCCTATTGAAGAAAGAGATTAGATTTGTTTGACACGATCTGCACTTGACAAATTAACGGTGCCTATTAGTTGTTATCTTGCTTTCATTTAAGTGCTTCCAAAGTTCATCTCGGTATTTTTTTTTTCCTTCAAGAACTTTTACTGGGTCATCAAAAGAAGTGGTGTCTGTTGCTTGGTGGAGGAGTCAGATCAGTGCTGGGTTATACGAGCACATAGATAAGTCTGTGATTCCTCAGTCCCATGTCAGCTCCCTGCTCCTACTAGAGGCTGAAACTTACTGGCAGTCTTTGTTACTCCTGCTGCCTGTGCTTACCATCCAGCGAGAGCTGCTCTTTCTTGGGAATTCTATGCAATAATGTTAAAACAGATCAAGCGCTTTCATTCTAATTTGCAGTCTCTTGAGAGCAGGGCTGGCCAAGACGGTACTGGGCTGCATTTCCACCTTACCGTGTCATCTGTTTCACAGGGCAGTCCTGCCACTAAAACCTCAGGGCTGCCCTCGCGGAGCCGGTCCCCGCGGGGCAGTGCCGGGGGCGGTTCGGGCATCGCCCCCGCGCCGTCTGTGCCGAATAGTCTCTCCCAGGCCGGCAGGCACCGCTGTGACACCTGCTGGCTGCTCGGCGGCGGGACGAGGCAGCCGGCCCCCGGCGGGTGGAGCGAGGCGGGCGGCAGGGCAGAGGGTGCCCGGCGCGGGGCGCTCGGCGGTGCTGGGGGGCCGTCCCCTAGCAGCAGGGCAGGAGCACGGCTGCGGAGCCGGCACGGGGCTGGGATTTCCGCCCGCGGGAGCGGTGGTTCCGCGCTTCCCGCCCGCCTTCCTCTTTTATATTTTTCCTCCTCCTCCTCTGCCGCCGCGCCACTTCCAGGGGAGGTTGGTGTCATGTGGCTGGCGCCGAGGGAGGGCTGCCCGGGGCCGCAGCGGCAGTGAGAGGCGGTGAGAGCAGCCCAAGCGAGCGGAGCCGAGTATCCTGCGATGACAGCCATGAAGGAGCAGCCGGCGCACCCGGGCGGCAGGGGGAACCCGCCGCCGCCGTCGCAGCCCGACCAGGTGGGAGCCGCGGTGCCGAGGGGCTGGGGAGGGGGCGGCCGCCGTCCCGGTGAAGTTGTGCGGAGATGAGCACGAAGTGCGGGGGGTGCTAGCATCCTCGGGTCGGCTTGGCCGGGGGATGCGGGAGCCCCGCGGAGCCCAGTCGGTGGGCAGAGGGCGGCTCACGGGTATTCAACCGTGCGGGGTCCACAGCGAGGAGGGATGCTCAGCATCTCTGCCCGGGGCGGGGAGCGGCCCCGCTCGGCTGGGGGTGTGAGGCTTCCCGGAGGGTTCACCCGCATCTCGGTGCGGGGAGCGGTACCGTCCGACGTCCCAGCGCCTCTCGGTGCCGGGCTGCATTGGAATGCCCGCTTGTCGGGCAGGGTAGAGAACAGTGGAAAAGCTGAACTCGGCTTTGAGCACCGCAAGATCGAAGTTTCCATTCTCGGTCCGCGGGAGCCGTTGCTCCATCCCAGCCACTTCCCGAGCGGTCCCGGGGCCGCGGCCGCGCGCTGCCGCTGCTGCAGAGGCGGTGCCGGCGTTGCCCCGCGGCAGTTGCAGGGATCCATAGAGCTCATACGTTTCAGGAACTCTGTTTTGCTTTAGAGGATCTCTGCTTGCAGATAGAATAAAAAGTGCTTAAACTTAACCAATCTTCATATTCGATTCAGAGATGCTGGATTGCCTGAATAGCTTTTTGTTGTTGGAGGTGGATATCTTTTCAGAGCAGCCTTCATGTTATATACTGAGAATCAGTGGTTTGACTACTCTTTCAGGTCGTAATGAGGAACAGGAGTAAGTTCTCAATTTAAATCACTGCAGATGTGAAAACTGTGTCCTAAATATAGAAACGTAATTACTGGAGCACTGTGGAGCTCTCTCCTCTCTCATAGTGGGTGCAGGGACTGCTGTGCTGCAGGGAGCATGAGGACCAGGTCCTGTGCGGTTATTTGTGTTGCATTTCTCCATACCAAGATTGGCTTTACTGGTAAAAGTTGACATTGAATCAGTGTTGATCATCTGTTGCCATAGATGCCAGGCCTGTAGATAATGACATTGCTTACAGAATTTGGCTTTCAATGAGTGGGAATCTTTCTTTAGGCTTAAACGATCACAATAGGGATGTGGGCCAAACTCCTTCCAGGAGCTCTATGCAGATTGAGGCTGCTGTTGGATCTCCTCAAACACTCCGTTCCTATGCAGCCAAGATCCACGCAGCCATATCTGAGCTCCCTCCACGGCCAGGATGTGGGCAGTGCTATGCCAGATCTATGTTAGAAATGCTTCTTAGCACAGCAGATTTGGGCTGTAGCCTTAGCAGAGGGATATTATGAGTTACAAGCTTTGTTGGCTTTCTGTGATTGCTGTTAGAGAATGTGAGCCCTTGGTGGAAGAGCAGCTCGTATTCCCACTGTCCACATTTTGTGGCACTGTTGCTGGCAGGTCTGTCAGGAAGATGTACCCTTCTCAGGCCTTCAGGATATCCATCTCTGTCAGGGACCTCAGTGTTTCATTTTGCTTGGTGAGCGGGTATAAGGTTGTGTCAGTACAGGTGACAGCTGTAGCTTCTTTATTTTTAATGATAAGCCTCATCTGCACAGAGGGAGCTTCTGTGACTGCAGGAGCAGCAAAGCTCTTTTGGTAGAGAAGTGGTTGGACCTGTGGAAAGGCCTATGAAGGAGCAAGGAATTACATTGAGATTTTCTAAGCATAGATCTCTTTTCTGATTTCCAAGTGCAGTTTATGAATACTCCTGAGAACAGTCTTTCTGAAGCTGATACATTGTGGTTAATTTATAGGCTCGGAACCTGAGCTGCAATGTGAAATTACAGCAGGCTAATGCTGTGACTTTCCACTTAAATAAAAGCTTGGATCGACTGACTGAAGCATCCACAGCCATTAGCTTATAAATAAATTGGATACAACTTCATATCCAACGCTTGCTTTGATGGTAGTATAAAAGCAGCCCTCCCCTGGGCCAAGGCATCTAATAACAACTTCCATTAACAGTGCTATCAATGTTTCAGCAATTCATTTGATAAATCTACCAGATGTATTTGTAACTTTTTGCTAAATAATGACTCCTATTTATTGCTGAAATTACAGTTTTATATTCTGATGATGTATCAGTAGAAGGGAAAACAGCTGTAAATCACTTGTATTCCTCCTCATTTCTGGAAAGCTCTATCAAAGGACTCAGGCTTGTGTCAGAAGTAAACGTGGCTTCCTCCATACATCAGTACAAAAAATAGCATTTTCCATCTTGCAGCTTTTAGGAACTGTCCCAGGGTCATAGACAATGATGTTTAGTGATCAATTTTAGAACGCACAACCTTTCAGTAGTCAGTGGACACAACATACTTGAAAAATATGGTGTACCTGTATGGCTTGCTGGTTGATGAATGTTGCTGTCTCTGCAGATGAAAAACTAGGATAATTCCTCTAGATGTTACTTCTGTGAGACTTCAGTCTGTTTACAAAAAAAAAAAAAACCACCAAAAACAGATGATCTACACCACCTGCTGCTGCTGGATGTTCTTTGTGTGTATAGAAGACAGACCTTATAAATTTATGACCATCCTCTCTTGAGCCTTTCTTACTCTCCCAACTTAAGGACTTTTAAAAATTGATTTTAAAATACAAGAAAAATCCCCCAAACAAACAGGTTATTTCTTTACTGTTTGTCACTTATAAGCAACTGCATTCTTGTTCTTCAAAATAGGTGAGCAGAAGTGAAATCAGACTGTACTGCATTGCATTAAATAAGGGAGTTCTTTAGTATTTCAGTTATGTATATATACAGGCACAACTGACTTCTGTTTGCTCCAATACAACTATGAGTGTTTTGATTAATAAGTTGAATTTTCTCTGTGTCAAGACCAGTTTCTGTGGTCACCGTGCAAAGGTCATATTCTGAAAGTGTGTCTGAACAAAAGAGAACAATCTGTGCTTTATTTTTCAGTGCCAAGGCTAAAGTGGTTTATACTGCTATGTCTTCCTTCACTACATCACTTCTTTTCCCCAAAATTAGACTCTGATCTTGCAGTGGGAAAAATGCTGATGGATAGTTGTGTCTGTCTGGAGCAGTATTCATCTTAATGAGGTTTATTGAGGTGATGGGTTTTCCCCCTGCCCCACTCAGGTTATTTTGAGCTCCATGGGTCAAGGAAAAGCTTGAACTCCTAATCATACTTGCAACAGCTCCAGTAATTTGAAAGATTTTGTTGGGTAGTCATCTCTTTGTCCTCCACTCTTGATTGTGTTTAGAGTTGGCTTTAAGCTGAGATAAGAATCTTTGTTCTAGTACATAACACAGAGGGACTTCACATTTTTCCTTCTTACCTACCTAGCAGAGTCTTGTTATATTGTGGCAATATACCAAACAGTGCTGTGCAAGGTTCAATATAATGTCAGAAGCATCAGGTAGAAAAAAACAATAAAAGTAGAGAAATAAGGTTGTATTATTATGCCTAGATTGTTTGTAAGGAGTTAAAATCTAAATCTTATCTTTAACATTTACATTCTATTTCTTACACTATATATATGCCATACTATTTCTGTACTGGATACAGAAGCATTACAGGAAGAAGTGTTACAGATTTGTAAGATCTGTTGGGTTTATGATCAGGAGCACAAGAAGCTGATGTGAAAATATGTTAGTAGCAGTGGTTTGGAATATCATTCAGGATTCACATTCTAGGGGAGGGCAAGGAACAAGCACACTTTCAATAGCACGTGGCCTTGATTTGCTTTCTCTTTTCCATGTGGCTGTTGAAGTGTAGTTCTGTCATGTGCCTGATTGATGTGATCAGGACTAGAAAAAACTGAATCTCATCTTAAATCTTCATTGCATTTCTGATCTTCTAAACTGATCTCTGTGGAGAAGGGCTGAGTAGGATCTCAATTCTAGTGAAGTGCTTCTTGTGTTAATTGAAAAACATCACTTCATGTGATGTCTGCTTGTGGTATAGGATCTTGGGTAGCTTGAATGAGCAATGAGAGGATATTTTTTAGGTGGCAGTATAGCACATAAATGTGTTTTCTGTAGAGATCTCAAATTCAGAAGTGTCTCTTCAGAAACTTTCCAAATGCAAAGAGCTTTTGAAAGAGCTTCCAGTGCTTGATCCTGTCCTGAGAACTGGGAGCACCACTGTGGAGAGGTCTTCTGTGAGGGACCCAGAACAGAGTGATATGTGAGCTCTTACTTCTTGCACTCTCTTCCCATGGTTCCATGCCTTTATGCAGGTTTTCTGTGTCTTGCTTTCAAAACAGCACACAGGAGCCGTGTAGTGCAGCTTAGCACCTGGTTTTTCGGCATTTGGAGCTCTCTGCTGTGTGGGTGTGTTGGAAGGATTGCTGCAGTAATGCAAAACCTAGGAAATAGGGCAGCCTTTCTGGTTGTTCAGTGTTGAAGTGAGCTGCAGGCACACTGTACACTACGTAGCAGTCTAACATATTTAAGTATACATACTGTACATATTGCGTTATTTTCTAACCCACTTCCTGTGTTTCTTTCCAGTTTCTTCCATGTGAAGATATTGCTTCAGGCAAGCAATTTTGATAACTAACAAGGCAGAGGAACTCTTTAAGCCCACTGAGATGATGTTTGATGTTATTCTAGCATTTGAAAGCCATCACCTTAGCATTTTTTAGTAACTTGAAGGCATTTGGAGATTACACACATACATTACTGACTCACAAACATGAACACAGGCTTTCTTTCCATGGTGGTAATAAGGATAAATGTAACTTGTGATCCCTATAGAAGTAACTTAGCTTTTGTTGTTCTTGTTTTAAACAAATAGAGCTTTGAAGTATGCTTCACTAGAGAAAAACTTCTAGGTGTGCAGGACCATACTTCACATTATCTTTTCTTTAATGTGATATTGGAAGACACTGGAAAGTCATCTGCTACTGCGAATCTCCTGCCAGTTGGTGGCTGCAATTTGTTGATGCTATGTTCATAACTGTTAGAAGACCTGTGTCTTCTTTCAAGTCCACACATTAGTCACAAGATTTCA